TTCCCTACATGCCAGTGATATGTTATCGAATCTGTTAAATAATTTACGGTGTTAGAACAAAAAATATGTTTATGGAAAAAAATTATAAAGTTTAAAAATATATGTATTTATATAGATTTGTTTTTGAAAGTTAATAATTTTTAAATTATTTTTCTATATAAATAATATATATGATATAAAATAATATTATTATTTTAAATCAATTAACAGTTTTATAATATTTATCTTATTATTTTCATGATTAAGTTGTTTTATTACCCGACATATCGTCATATATAAAAGAATTGTAAAACTCAATCTAATCAAAACGTTCCATGAATTGTTTTTCAATTATTTAATTTAAAAATATCAGATTAATTGTTATTCAAAATTAGTGAATGCGACTGATAATCTCAATATCTCCAAAATTAGAGTCGTTTAACAAAAGAAATGAACACTATGACAACGTATCCACCTGGATGTTGTACATGATCAAAATGATCAGACATAATCCATTATATTTATTTTGTAAAAAATAATCATGATATTATGCCGAACTGGAAATTCTCCATCCTTTTGGCTCTCGAAGTTGTTTCCGGTGGATGATTGTTGTTCTGATTTGTACATGATATTAATAAAAAATAAGTTTTATTTGAAATTTTTGTTACAATTCGTTTTCCAATTTTCAATCTTAGAAACAAATGGTTTTTATTTTGACTTCGATTTTAAAGCCTCCATTGCAGGGTCTGCCCCTGGAGGAGGAGGAGAAGGGGACTTGGTCGAGTCCGGTGATGGCGAGAGACTATAGGCGGATGATCAACTGGAGGTGAGGCACCATGTTGATGTGGTGGGCTTGAGAGAGGTGGTAAGGGAAGAGGTTTGGAGTCCGATGGAGCCAGAGGAGGAGACGACATAGTTGAAGTCGATGGACTCTGGAATCAGAGGAACAAAATCGGTGGGTGATGTTGATGGCGAAGAACTCAACGAATTACATGTTGATTCTAACATTTTTGACAAGTAAATTATTAATCTAAATTTTGTAAATTCATGGTTTTTATAGAAATTTTTATCTATCTCAGTGTTTTTTAATAATAATAAAAGAGAAAATCCAAAAAAAAAAAACACTAAACTTTCAAATTTTGACCAAAAAAATATTGAACTTTTTATTTTATCAAATAAATATGAATCTTTTTAAGTTTGACAAAATAAACACTTAACTCTTCAACGATTGTAAAAAAAAACAAAATGACTGACGTGGCACAATGAGATGCAAACACGTCATATTATTTTTCTTAGTTTTTTTGAAAATCGAAAAAAATTCATGTATTTCTTTGGATCACTAAAAAAGTTATGTATTTTTTTGATAATCGGAGAAAAGTTCATGTATTTTTTGGATCACTTAAAAAGTTCGGTGTTTTTTTAGATTCGTTTAAAAAGTTTAATGTTTATTTGATAAAAAATAAAGTTCAATGTTTTTTATCAAAAATGAAAAATTGAATGTTTTTTTGAGATTTTCCCATAATAAAATGTATGGAGATAAATTTAAAAATAACGTTATGAGAAATACGTTGGTATAAAAGAAGCAAATCGAGTAATAATATCATTGTCATTGTCTCTCCTCTACTGGATGAGAAATACCTTTCGTCGAGCGTATTATAAACTCGGGTTTAGAGGGGTAAGAGAAGCTATATTTTCGCCGAGAGAAAATAACCAACCATGTCTATGCAAGTCAAATAATATATATATATATATATAACATTTTCATTAAATTCAAATAAATTTATTTATAATTTTATTAAGGTGTATTATTTTTACAATATTTATATCAATATACTTTATAATAATAATCGATATAATAACCCGCGCATCGCGCGGGCTCCCCACTAGTCAATTATAAAAATTAATTCGATTTTGGGTCACTTTGTCTAGATTTCGGTTTGGATAACAAAAAGTTTCTTTATTTTAAAGGATTTTTTTTCTCGGTTAAATCCGTTCCGGTTTGATCCTTTCTATTTAGTTTGGTCCAACTCCGGGGCTAAAATATCGTTTAATTGATATAAACTACATTTTTTTCTTTCTAATCATTTTCTAATTTAGTTTAGATGCAAGTTAATTGGATTCATTAAAAAAATTCATGCAAATAAATATTAAAATTTGGGTTGGTTTGATTTATTCTAATCTAGATTTAATCTCAACTGCGTTCGGATAATAAAATTTTTCCTTAATTTTAAAGAACTCTTCTCTTCGTTTCGGTTATGTCTGATTCTATTTGGGTTGGTGCAATTTCAGGCTGGAATAATAATGGATATAAAATATGTAAGTATATGAAGATATATGTATTTAGTAAATATCCTGATTTTTTTTTAAAATGGAAATATTAAAACCATATTTGAAACTAATAATAATCAAACATTATCAACAAAATTAGTGATAAAAACATTTACCACATACTCTATTATTAGTCCAACATTAATGAAATAATAACTTTGACCGACCACACGTTACTTGGGACGGTCCGACTGCTGTCTCGTTGACTACATGAAACGAATAATTAATTGAAACACAAGTGTGTTTCTTTCTTGTGACGTTAGGTGGGGCAAATGGGCAATTTCGTCATTTAATGCTCCCAAATCTATAACCCGAAATAAAAACGGCGGCGTTTTGATGGTATCTTTCTTTCGGTTTAGTTCTGTTCGGTTCGAATTGGAGTTCGGTTTAACCGGTTTGGCTTACGGCGCTCCATTTTAAATCCAAAAACCGATTTGGGAAACCTTTAACAGATTTAAGGTTCAACTTGGAGAAAATATCAAAAGACTCCATTGTCTTCTCTTAGGGCTCTACAGCAGAAGCTCAGATTCGAAGAACAATCACAACGAATTCCTCAAAATTGCCTTGTAAATTCTAGGAGGTCGAGAAGGCGAGATGCTAGGAGAATGTGGGAGGATATCAGAGATAGAGAAACCGGTCGAATTCGTTCTAATTCCTTCGCCAATCGATTCAAATCCCATCGGGTCTCGTCCCTCCAGCTCTCGAATCGCAAAGACTTTGTCTCTCCTCATCGTGGCTCCGTCAATTCGCTCCAGGTACTTTCTTGGGTCTTTTTTGAACTTCTTCATGGGTTTCTGTTGATGGGTCTTCTCTCGAAGATCTTTGGGAACTAGGTTACGGAGTTTATGAGATAATAGAAAGCTTCCTGTTTGATGATTTTGTGTTGCATGTTTTGCCATTTGAGTTGTTGTATGGAGAGGATCTAAGACCAAGAACTCAGTTTCGGTCTGAGACGAGGATCTCGAGTCTGATCTGAACCGAGAATCATGACTGATGAATGTTGGAGTATATATGGATATTTCGTTGTAATTGTGCATACAAAGCTCCCAGCAACATTCCGTGTATGGGTAATAATTCCCAGTTTGAAATCTCCATTTGCTTGGATTAAAAAAAACATTTAATACTTACTGTTTTCTGCACGATATGTAGCTAGAGTTAGAAGCTTTTTGTTATGTCTCGATAATACTGCTCGATGTGATGATCCATGGTTTTAGTTTCCTCATGTTCTGGAGGAAGTTCTTTGCCATCCTCAACGTTGTAGTATGGAGTACCTTTTTATATTAACCATGTACTCAGGTTGATTTGACAGAGGGGAGATATTTGCTCTCTGGAGCATCAGATGCTTCAGCTGCTGTGTTTGATGTTCAGCGGGCCACTGATTACGAGGCAAGTGGTCTTATTGCGAAGCACAAGTGTATATTTACTGTCGACAAGCAACATGAAAATGGACATAAATATGCCGTATCCTCTGCCATATGGTATCCCATTGACACAGGGCTGTTCGTTACAGGTTCATATGACCATTACGTAAAAGTCTGGGATACAAATACCGCACAGGTATCGAGTTTGATTGATAAAGATGACTTCATCCATCTACATGATCTCACATGTAGCACCTTTTTTTTTTAATTTTGTATAATGCTTTTTCATAATATTCGTAGGCGGTTGTGGATTTTAAAATGCCGGGAAAGGTGTATAAGACTGCCATGTCTTCCTTGGCAATGTCTCACACATTAATTGCGGCTGGAACTGAAGATGTACAGGTTCGCCTCTGTGATATAGCTTCCGGGGCTTTCGCTCACACGTTATCTGGTCACCGTGGTATGTCTTTTTTTTTGTTGTCGCTGGAAAGGAAACTCAAATAAATGCACTATGTAAGAGTTGCATATAGCATGGCTAAGATGAACAATTAACTAGTTATTGTATTCCTTTTTTAGCATTTTCAATTGCATTTGTTAGTAAGCTTGAAATTCCCTAAAATGGAATTTGTCTTGTTTATGCGATTTGGCAGATGGTGTAATGTCTGTGGAATGGTCTACTTCTAGTGAGTGGGTATTGTTTACCGGAGGACGTGATGGTGCAATACGTTTTTGGGACATTCGGCGTGCTGGATGTTTTCGTGTTCTAGATCAATCACAGACACAACTTGGTAGACGCCCACCTATTCTAAAGCGTGCAGCAGTTAACAGTAAGGTTTGTTCTTGTGTTCATTTCTATTTCTTTTCTTTTGGGTTTTCCAGATAGGCTGGCTGTCACTTTTACACTGGAGTGACCGCTCTAAATGTCTTGAAAGTGAAATATATGCAACATTCCCATGGGGTTTGGCATTTAAATGTCTCGAAAGAAGATATACCATTTCAGTGGATGAGTGTTATGTTAGATATTGACTAATATAATATTAACAATTTTGGCAAAGGTTGGATATGAAGTATTGGTATTGAACAGCCCTAGCTAGCTCGAACTTCTATAGTTATATGAGAATCAAGGGGGAATTGTTGCTTTTTTAAAATGATAAGCTTGATCATTTCTTAAGTGTTCTCTATGTCTAAGACTCTAAGTTTACGTCTTTGCAAAATGCAACTGAAACGCAATTGATTGTGTGGCCATTTGTTGTTGGCCTATTATTTAAACACAACAAGTCATGCATTTGTCTTGTAACCTGTAAACTGATTATTGTGAAGATAAGGGTTTTCCGATATTCAATTAGTCATGTATGTCTGTGACTGCATTTTTGCAGCAAGACTGGACCATTAATATTTTAGTTGAAATACATTCCCATGATAACTCTATTTTCATCCCCTACAGGTTTCAGCATCAAAATCTTCATCTGGAGGTCAAAATCTTCATGTAAGGTCAAAGGCGCAAAGGAAACATTCAGACAGCCAGATTTTTAGGGGATCATCTAGTGGTAAATCTTCAGTGGACAGAACTGGTCGAAAAGAAAAGAGACTTCACCCTGGAATGTTATCTAGTCTAGATCGGGCTACTGCTCATTATGGCGTTGTTACGAGCTTAAAAGCAACTAATGATGGGATGTACCTTCTTAGTGCAGGTAAGCTCTTAGCGGTCATAGGTACTTTCTCTGTATGATTAGATTGTTGTATCGTAAATGTTTGGGATGAATTTATGTGTGCAGCCTCCACCGGTGAATCTTACATGTCGTGCCTCTAGAAAATTCTGTGCGGTTTGCTTAAACCATGAACAATGTTTGCGACCCTTTTTGTGTAATCTGTTCCGATATTCTGTTTCAGGGTCGGATTCGAGAATAAGATTGTGGGATATTGAATCTGGATGCAATACCCTTCTGAACTTTGAGACTGGACGCTTGCAGACTAACAAGGCAACTGAGTTAGCCACTAGTGATGAACCAGCTCTGGTTTTTGTTCCATGCATGAAAACTGTCAAGGTAATAATATACTTTTTCATTTTATTCGCAAATCTTCTCTCGGTTCGTTACAATATGCTTTTTATTATGTATAATCCCGCATTGGAATTGTCTAGGCTTTTGACATTTGGTCGGGTAAAACAACGCTGGCATTTCGTGGGCACTACGACGTCGTCAACTGTTGCTGGTTCGATTCCCTTAATCAGGTACAGACTACAGTTCCATCCCTAGAACTTATACCACATCTCATGAACTTGAATGCTTTTTAGATTTAGGCTTTGCTAGAAAAGCGAATTCAATCTCGTATTAGTTTTGAGACCGCCCTATCGGTATCTGACAAGTGACAAGCCTTCTATTCGTTTCACCGCTTCTTTCCATGGCTCGACCCCCTATATAAGGGATTTTTCTATGTGTAATAAAGGATCGTCTTAGATTACAATCAAAAGAGTGATAGAACCGGGATAGAATCCGTCTAAGATTCTGTTAGTGTAATAAGCCGAAACCCGTGAATAACACCGAGAATATGAAACATGTCCACACTGTCTGGTGATACGTGACTGAGTCATTTGATGGCATACCAATAGAAAAGCTTCAGAAACCGATCTGACCGCATGTTTTATGCGAGTTTTACAGGAACTGTACACAGGAGGAACCGATAGACAAATACTCACATGGTCGTCACCATACGGATCCAGCGCAGATGAGATGGAAATGGTTATAAAGATTTATACTTTTTCTTTCACCCTTTTCACATAATGATGCATTCTTTCTGATCGGATTTCTCATCGGAAAAAATGCAGGACACTGTGGCAGAAGACAAGGATAACTGGAGCGACTGAGAGAAGAAGAGCTCGTTACTCCAATATGTGTTTACGTTTTGATTCTCTCCCCCAATGTGTTTTTTGTTTCCACTCTCTAATGGGGTTTGGTCGGAAAATCACAACTATGAAACAGTTGACAGCAACTACATTTTTTTTCCGTCATTGAAGTCGTACTTGAATACGTACATGTTGCTGAGTTTTTGTAATTTAATTGGCCTTTTTGGTTAATAAATGGGTTTCTCATTGTCCTTTTTGATGGAGTCAAAGTAGTGATGAACAGCCTTGAGCCAATGAAACATTTAATTTGGAAGAAGAAAAAAACATATAGATTTGACTTTGTTTGCATTTTTGTAAAATCTTGTCATAAAAAAAAGTCAGATCATTATAGTCTGGGTTCGTTGGTCCGTCGATGTAAATCCAGGACAGGATTAGATATTAACAAACGATCTAATCTCCTTCCTTGTAATAGTAGTATTCCTTGTACGCAATCATGTCGGTCCTTAAAGTGCCCGAATTAATTCGTCAGCATTAAATTAAAACTTTGAAATAAAATGAAAATAGTTAAGTATTTCTAAGAAACATTAAATTAAAACTTTGAAATAAAATGAATTAGTTACGTATTTCTAAGAAATAAAATAAATATTGTCCGAAAAAGGGGAAAACCTAAAACAAAGTCAAAACTTCGACACTAATATATATATATATATATATATATAAGATTACTGATTTTCCTCTGCAAGTTGCATTTCTGTCTGCTGCATTCTGTAGATACATACGACTGTATTGTATCGATGAACACGAAGAAGAAGAAGAAGACGAAGTGCTGAACTGAAAAGTCTCTGCAGACATGTTCCGTCTCAGATCTCCGATCAAGAAACCCATCACGACAGCCACCGCCGTCTCAACTTTCCCGCTGACGGGAACCGCCGTCGCCGGCTATATGGATCCGGTTATCTGGGCCGGTTTACCCGACTACCTCCTCGATCACATCCTCTCCTTTCTGCCTTTCCACAATCTCGTCGCTCTCAGATCGATCTCCAGACATCTCCGATCTCTGCTCCTCTGTCCGACCTTCCTCTCCGACAGGTCTTTCTCTCTCCCCTCTTTCCTCCTCCTCTCCCATCCTCAGTCCTTCCGCTCGTTTCCACTGTTCGACCCTAGCCTACACTCGTGGCGCACGTTACCCCTCCCCTTCTCTCTCCCGCTAACCTGCGCCTCCTCCCTCCTCTCCTCCTCCCGTGGCCTCCTCTGTTTCTCTCTCCCGAGCTCGTCTTCTTCCTCCCTCGCCGTCTGCAATCCCCTCACCAACTCCTCCCGGCTCGTGAAATTCCCATTTTACCCTTTCTCGTTCGAGCTTCTCGCCATCGTCGCCTCTCCCGATGGACACCACTTCCGGATCTTCACTCTATGTTCTTCGTCGTCGTCCTCTGGGGTTTATAGCTCTGTTTTCGTGTACGATTCCAGAGATAGATCATGGAGAAAATCCGACGGGTTCGATCAGGTTTTACCCCGTGGGTTCCATCAAGACGGAGTTTTCTACAAAGGGTCTCTGTACTTCGCCGGAATCGAGCCGTTTACGCTTGTGAGCGTCGATCTCGACGGCGGAAAATGGACCTCCGTCGCCGGAATCGGAGAATTTCTCGCCGGAGACGAGCTCACGTTCGTCAGACTGGTGAGCGACACCGAGGGGAAGAAACTGTACATGGTGGGAGGAATCGGGAGCAACGGGATCTCGAGGAGCATCAAGATCTGGGAGAAGAGAGAGGAGATGGACGAGTGGGTGGAGCTGGAGACGCTGCCGGAGATGATCTGTCGGAAATTCACGTCGGTGTGTTACCACAACTACGAGCATGTGTACTGCCTGTGGCACAAGGGAACGATCTGCATCTGCTGCTACAGTTGGCCGGAGATTCTGTTCTTCCATGTCGGAAAAAGGACATGGCATTGGGTTCCAAAGTGTCCGTCATTGCCGGAGAAATGGAGCTGTGGATTTCGCTGGTTCTCTTTTGTCCCTACCTTGTCCGCTTCTGTGTAATCGGGACTTTTTTTTTTTTTTGCTGTTTTGATAGTGTTCTTCGTGATTCCGTATAGAATAAAAAAAAATTGTTTTTTTTTTCTTGGAACGATAAGATTCTGAATGCAAATTGCCAAATTGTCATGGATTATTGTTGAGTTCAGTTCTGGGTCGACTCGTTCAAGGTTTCCGACCAAATCAGAACTGGGAACGAGTTGAACACACGCGAAATAAACTAATTAACGGAAGAATCTCATTTTCTAAATTAAGTTTCTCTTTTAGAAATAACATAATCAAATAAACTAATTAACGGAAAATAAACGTAACTAAAAGTTTACTTCAGAAACTTATTGTTTAATTTATATTTAATGTTTGAAAAGTCTTTAGTTAGCTCTTAGAGTTCAATAACCATTATATTCATGTTTCAAAACGAATGAAAAAATAAATAAATTGAAAGGTTTAGGTTTTTGGAGTTTTTAAAATTCAAAATCTAAAAAAATTGACAATCAAAATTTTGAAAAAATTTGATTTTTTTAAAACCTTGAAAAACTATTTTAACGAAGTAACTAACTAAAATCCAAAACCTCTATTTTTTTTTTTAGATTTACAGAATATTTCAAAAACCAAAAACACGACAAAGTCATTCGAGACCATAATTAGCTATAAAGACAAGAAAGAAGCTTCACTTATGTCTGGAAACCAGACATTACATCACAAGATTCGTGCCCAGGCTTTCTGTTTGAATTTCCTAATTTGTGCAATGAGAAGAAGATAAAAACAGACACGACAACAGAGTTCACTTCCCAAATCTGAATGTATCTGTCTGCAGGCAAATCCAACAATATGATTATACAACACTCTCCACATGGATCCATCAGTAATTTTTTTTCCCTTAAAAAGGGTTCATATCATAGATGATATCCATCCACTGCCAAATCTAGACTGTATTAGGGAAATGGTGAGCCGGGAGATCATGCAGCATACAATCAATCATCCTCCCCAGTGAAGTAATGGCCGGAGTTTTTACTCTGCGCCACAAATGACAGACAAAAAACCCAGTTCGAGATTTTGAGCATATGAAAACTATTTGCAATGGCCACCGACATCTTTGCACGACAGAAAACTTACCTCTGCTAACATCCGCTGCTTGTTCAAGAACTGTGTTCTTGCTTTGCTGAGGGCTGAGTTTGGTGATCTAAACATCCTCTGCTCACAACATAAGAAAGGATGCCTATCAGTCGATCCAAGATTATGAACACCACCACCAATTTATAAAACATATAAAACCGACGACGGATTTGAAATCTCTAACTTGACTTTAAAGAAACAAGCACAAACTTTATCCAAGTCACGGATGGAGGAACCTACCTTTTCACCCTGGCTCATACGAGGCTCCCCACCAGCAAACTTCTTCTTCGGAGTGAAACCAAATACATCTTGGAGGAACTCATTGTCCTGATTGGAAAATAAAACCAAAAACAAAAAAGAAGCAGCAAAATATTATAGCTAAAGAAAGATACACCGGAGAAAGACAAATGACATTCATGAAAGAAGATGACTAAAACCCAATTCAAAATCAAACCTGCATATGCTTGATAAACCCGCCCCCGAGGAAATGTTTCAGAAAGTTCAACTGTTCCAAGCAAGGATTAGCCACCTCTGATAAGAACAGGCACAAAAGGGAAAAAGAAGTAGAGATCAATCGAGATTAAAAACCTGTATCATCTGGCACCACATCGTCGTTTGTAAAGACTCTCCACCTATCTTTGTTGAGCTTTCAGGGGAGTAGCCATCCTGGTGAAACAATCATATACAGAGCTGGGCATAAGTGCCACCATAACATAATTGCAAGCTACAAGAGAAAGACAAGTATAAGATACCTCGAGAAACTCTAGAAGATCTTTAAACAAATTCCGCTGGCTGTTGAGATCTTTCTTAGCAGAACCTTTACCACCTGCCTCCACAGAAAGGTCTCTAACTTGATTAGTGACTTTGGCTTTTAAGCCATGCATGTGTGTCAATGCTTCCTGAGTCACATTTCCTTCTTGAACTGATCCATTAGATCGCTTAGCTTCGGCGGAGAACTTCTCCAGAATTCCCAACTCAAAAATCAGGCCAAGTGCTTCGCCAGCAGCTATACGAACAGTCCGATCATCTTTTTCTAACAGGGAAGAGAGATATGAAACTATCCTGCAAAGTATTCAAACAATCCTAAGCTTATAACTTTCAATGAAAAGAATATAAATCTTAGGCAGAACCATAGCTTCACTTACTCTTGCCAAAGTTTTGAACTTAGTGTCCATTGATCTACTGTTGTCAGCAGAAAAGCCCAAGAAGACACCACAGCAGTTACAACTGCAGGTGAAGGTTTTGCTGCAACAACCTACAAGGAAAGTAGACAAATGTCAATCAATCCTCTGAACAAAACGAAACCACAATTTCGACGTCCTCAAAAGGGTTTCATGAATAGAACAAGGCCAGTACAACTATGACAATTTCGACGTCCTCAAAAGGGTTTCATGAATAGCTCATTTTCTTGCTATTATCTTCAAGCAGCTATCTCCTCAAAATCATATTCTCTACTCTAGAAGTCTAGATCCACACGACAAACCCACATCTATAAATTTAGTGGCCAGCTTAAACCCAAAACCAAATTGCTTACGCCCACAAGGTGATACTGATAGCCATAGTTTTGCATTCCAAAAACAAGAACTAAAGTACGACACATACATTAGCACCTAGTTTGGGATGAATCATTTGCCAGATGATTTGCATTGATCTTTCCGTCTCCTCTGGAGCAGTTCCGCCGACAAAGGTGATTATCGCCAAGCATTCAAGTATCTGCGATGAAAGGGTAAGATATCACCACAACTAGAAATCTAAATAAGCTTGTTAACGAAACTGACTACCGCTTAACAATTGAATCATGCATACCGATGATATTTTCAAGGAATCACGACCAGATCTAAGGGCCTGAGAGAGAGGAGTGACTGATTCTTCCAAAATTTCATGTGCTTGGTCCCCTAAGCCAACAGTCATAGCTAACAAACCTGCAAATACCATGATTAACACTTTTGAAATACATCAAATTTTGCAGATGATGAGGCGTAAAATTTGTTTGCTCATCACAACTAACCAATGACATGAGTTGCTAAAAAGGTCTCCCTGCTAGACCCTTTCTTGATGCAGTTTACACATTGATGCAATAAAGTGGCAAACCTGCATTATTAAGAAGATACATGAAACCCACATTCACCATTCTACAAAAGATTTCAAGACTTGTGGATAAGTTAGACATTGTAAAATTACATTTATTGAAACAAAAGTAAACGCTTACTTCTTTTCCGCAAACTCATGCTGCAAGTCACTGTTAAATGCATCGACAATGGAGGCCAATGCTTGCTCCCTCGTTGAACTCCTTCATCCCGAAACAGAATCGAACATCAGTTTCCGTGCAGAAATCCATTGAAAGCACATCAAAACTCAATTTTCAAACTCATTGTTTCTCGTAAAAGCTAAGTACAATAATTCAAGGGAAACTGAACAAGGAAACCCAGTACAGAAGCAGAGAAACTGGGGACGAATCGATAAAAATGGTTTAAGAAACCCACCGTTTCTCATACAGAGCATCGAGGGCTTGATCCAACAGAACATCTTTGTGAGTTTCAACCTCATCCATGCCGGAAACCGACATTCTATCGGATCGTATAGTAGAGCTAGAGCTAACACTACTTGTATCATCGTCGCTGTCAAACATTGCGGCGTTCTTGCGTTGAGATCCTGCCATTTTTTTTTCAGCTCGTGAATCTTTGTCCCTTCAAACCTCAAAATAATCTTCTAAACGAAGCTAAATTGCCCACCAGATTCAGAATTTGAATCGGGCAGGTTTCTAGATTATCACAATAAGATTGATAACACAATAGAGAAGTTGGACAAAACAACAAAACCAAAGTACAATTCAAATCCGATTAAACCCTAAAAAAGGAAACCCAGGTCAAAATTATGCTAACAGTAATCCATGAGAAAGCGGATCAATGCCAGAAAACTTACTCTTCCCCATGATGGGTCGGTGACTACTTCCTTCAAAAACTTTAAAAAAACCCACAAAAGGGTTAACAGAGAATCTGAAAACGAGACGAATGAGCAGGAGAAGAACAATCGAAAACCAAAGAACAAGACGGAATCGAAGCACGGAATCTGGGGAAGAAGAGCAACAAGAATCGGGAAGAAAACGACGAGAAGTGTGAACCGAAGGGCGATGTATCCATCAAACACGATTGAATCAAGAATGGTGGAAAAGAGAGAGGTGGAGAAAAGTTTGGGACTTCCGTCTCACGAAATTGGGGAAAACGTGTGGAGGATGGTGGTGTGTTTATACATGCGCCGTCAAGCGGTGGAAACTAGAAACGAAGAATCCACCGATCCTGGTGCCGTGGAATATTCGTCGACACGTGGCAGATTGTCTGCCGTAAGATCTAATGATCTGTTTATTTGTCATATTTTAGACAAATATTGGGAAATATAATGCCAATTTCCCTCAAATATTAATTTATTACCATTCATCTAATCAAACACATTTTTTTAAAAAAAAAAATCCAGAAATCATAAACTTGATTCGGAACCCATTTATTTTGATTAAAAAAACAGTCTATATTTTATTTTCGGCCCCATAAATAGGGACTGCCAAGATCGTTTGGTCGGTGATTGGAAAACTATTTTATTATTATCGAATCAGAAACCCTAATAAATTTTACAAACCCTCGTAATAGATAAGAACTAAAAATAGAAAAGAAAAAAAACTAATCCGAGGTATAATACGAAATACAAAGATATATGTATATATATATATAGCATATATAAGTAAAGTAGAAATTCGATATCCGAAAAAATTCTTTAATATCGATTATTTAATTACGATTAAATCACATATTCAACGGAATTTCAAAAAGTCTTGTGATCTTAATGTAATTTTTTTTATCTGATTATGTTAATAAGAATTTCAAAATTCATATATCTATATGAAATTTTTTTTATTTTTTTAGGGTTTAGTATAGTTACATTCATAAAGTACAGAATAAATACAACTATTGGATACATAATAGGGGTGACCATTTCGGGTTTCGGTTCGATTATTTCAGGTTCGGTTATTTCGGTTATAAAAAATCATATCCAAACGGGTATACAGATTTATTCGGTTCGGTTTCGATTCGGTTCGGTTTTTGCATAATAAAATTATAACTAAACGGTTAAATTTTTCGGTTTATTCGGTTCAATTTTAGATCGGTTCGGTTCGGTTATGATATATTTTTTAAAAAAAGAATATTAATCCTATACAAACTTCAAAATATCTATCCAAATAAATCCATAAAATAATTAATCCTCCAAAAAAATTACAAAAAAATCTACAAAAATTTCAATAATTAGGTTAAAAGTTAAAAATATTAAATTTTATGGTTTATTAGGTGAAACACATAAGGTACAAATGAACTACCAAAAAATAACACTAATAATAATAATAAAGGTAAAAATTAAAATATTAAAAAAACCCTAATAACCGTTCGGTTAACCGCGGTTATTCGGTTATTAACCAAATCGAACCGAACTCGAATGGTTATTCAACTTCCTCAACCGTTCGGTTATCTCTTATTCGGTTCGGTTCGGTTCAATTATTCGGTTAATAACCGAAATGGCCATCCCTAGATACATTCGATTAGTTAATAGACCTCTGAGAATAAAAGCATGTTTTATCAAATTTTGAATTTCCACATTATCAATTGATGGAATTAATATTGAAAAATTATGGAATATAGGATTCAATTAGAATATACAATCAACAAGTGGTGTGAGTTCTTAAATAATACTCCCTCCGTTTTAACTTTGTATGATGTTTTAGAGTAATTTTTTGTTTTAGAACAAATGAAGTTTAAATGTACTTTTTAATGTATTTTTCAAATTGACCCCTTATTAATAATAGTCAACTATTCTATACATATCCAACAATTAATTCAGTTTAGTGTTTATAATTTATTTAACTTCACATAAACTACATTAAAAAAAACTAAACTCCAAATAGCTTTATAATTTATCAGTATAAATTGATATTATAAGAAGCCATGAAAAAAATTAATTTGTTTGTGATGATTCTAATTCAATATATAGACATTTGATGTTTTGTTTTAGCTCAAATTCAAAATTTTTAAATAAATTAATCTTATATAATTGACTCCAAATTTGATTATTATTTTTTTTTACAAAAAAGAATTGAGATCTTCATTTACTCGATTTGAAAGTACAAAATAATTTTAATTTTGAAAGTCTTACGAGAAGAAGACTTGAATTGTTGATTTATTGGGAAAGATAATGATAATATTCAATCATTAAATAAGAATAATTAAAAAGGGTATTTTGGAGAAAATAAAATTTTCCTTAATATATGTGTCTAAGATTAAAATGTCATACAAATTTAAACAGAGTAGATAGGATCGATTAAATTTAGAGATTTTAATATAGGTCGGGTTATATAGGTTGACACAATTCGATCCAGTTATAAATGCAATTTGATTAATTTTTTTAAATGAATTAAATGGGTTTTGATCCATTTAACCAAGGATTAAATGGTTTGACCCATTAAACTTATTATAAATTTAATTAAAACGAGTATATATATATACACACTCACGTACATATATTAATATTAATATATGTGTACATATATGCATATAAACATATATGTATTCGAATAAAAAAAATTTTTATCAAATCTCGATACCTTTTCTAAACCGAAATTGAAAATATCGATACCACTTTCGAACCGAATCGAATTGAAAAAATTGTTATCGTTTTTGAATCGAATCAAACCGAAAATTTTGGTATTATTTTTTAATCGAACAAAAAACTTGGAATCGTTTTCGAACTAAACTAAATCCGATACTGTTTATGAATCAAACTGTAACAAAAACTCGATAACGTTTTCGAATAAAACCTTGTAAAAAATTGAACGGTAACATTTCTAAAAAAACGAATGAAATCAAACAAACCGAATTTAAAAAGAAATTAAAAAATGATATATTTTTTAAAATACACATTTTTCTTTATAAACATCAAAATCGAACCGAATACTAAAACTAAAACGTTAATTCCTATTTTATATACATATACATATCTATGATTATATATGCGTATAAATAGTATATAAATATATAAATGGATTGAATGGCTTTAGACGAATAAACCCAATCTAACCCATTATTATTAGATCATCAAACCCAACCCATTAATTCTTTGGGTTTGGAAATTTCTTTATAAATCGGATCATATATATATAGGCATTTCGATTCAGAAATTTAGTTTTCATAAATCGATTGAATAAGTTTCCGTTCGGTTTAGATTTATAGGTTAATAACGAACGGTATGAAATAATAATAATAATAAAAAAAAAATTATTGGCCGATAAATTCCAGACCAAACTTCAAACGCCCAACCATATATTATATTTTGGGTAAAAAATTTACATTAATCTGTTGATGATTTACGCGATCTTTTTCGTTAATACGTGCTGATGATTTGCGAATAGATCATAATAAAAATCGAATATAATTAACGACTTCGAATAATGTTTAGTAATTTTCAACAACTTCTCCTCATACATGATTAACCAAATAGTAAAAGAAAAAATATTTAGATTTCTTTAGGCATATAGTCTCGAACGCATCTTATATGAATTGAGTTAAGATGATAAGCAAATATGGTTACGATATAATTTTTTTTAATATATACTTTTAGACGGATGGACATAGATCGGATATCCGTGATTTTTGAGATATCTGTATCCGTATCCGATCCCACAAATACTCGATTTTATTATCCGGATCCGATCCGTAATTTACGAATATCCGAAATTTCGGATATCCGTAAATATCACAGATATTTGCGAATACCCGTATACGACATAAAAATTATAAAAATTTAAATTTAAATTAAAGAACAATTTTAAATATAAATAAATTATATAATTCATTTATATTCAAATTTTAAAATTTATAATTCAAATATTTAAAATCAATTTAAATATAAATATAATTATAATCTATCATATACAAATGTATTTGAAGTTTAAAATTCACAAAATTAAACATAATAAATCTTAATATTCAAAAAATTAAACATTCTAAATCTCAATTATATAAAATATTTTTTAAATATACCTACAAAATTTATAAATATAAAATATTTTAAATCTCTGTACTAAATTATTCTTATATTTAATAATATTATTAATTAGTACGGATCGGATCAGATATGTCGGATAATTCGAATTTGATATCCGTATTCGATCTGTATCCGACAAATATTTCAAAATAAATATCCGTATCCGATCAGTATATTCTGGATAATCGAATTTTCAGTTCGGATACGGATCGGATAACGAATCGGTTCGGTTTTTTCGGATACTATGCCGACGCTACTAAAATTAGATTTGTTTCTTCCCGATAACAAAAATGGCAACTATGTCCATGTTCCCAATGTGGTTTATTATTATTAGGTGTCATCTTTTGTTTGGATTCTCTTATTTTTTAAACTTGGAAAGTTTTGAATTTTAAGAAACTCGTGCATTAGGTACTTTAGATTCAGGTTTTACTAAAAATATCTACCTTTTTAAAAAACCGTTTCCTTTCTTATATTTCATTTCTCTTTGGAGTTCGATTTAAATTCCATTGAAAATCTTTAACTTGTAAAACGGTGAAAAGCTAATTACTAAATATTTCGTTTGATAAATTTATTATCAAATTTGCAAAATATATCATTATAATCTCCAAATTTATTAATTGGGATAAAAAAAACTTTAACAATGTTGATCTATGAATTATTTTAGGAATTAAAATGCCCTTGCAACAAAAAAAAATAAAATTGGTTTTTCTAAGTTCAAAAATTTTAATGGAATTTACCCTAAAAATATATAACCAATACTTTAGATAAAGAAATTATATATTATTGTTTGGCGTTTTTTTATTTTTAGGATTTAGAAATTACAACACTTCATAAAAAAAATCTACTCATTGATTTTGACACTTCATAAGAAAAAAAAAATGCCATCAAAACACATAAATGTACAATGACAAGGTTGACTATGACAAGTTATCCAAATTTTACCAACTCTAAACCAAAATAAACGTACATTATGCACATGTTGGGTTACCACATTATTATAGATTATTCAAATAAAAAATATATAATTCAACATTATTTAAAAGGAAAAAAAATCCAAATCGAATTAGATTCAATACAACAAATAATGAACAAAATACAAAATAAATGTAAATTACAAAAACTATAGAAGATTACAGCGTCCGTCTTAAGAAATATAGAATTTTTTTAACTTAATTAAATAATGGTTAAATTACTTTCATATTTATTTAACTTGAATAATAATTTCTCGTCGACAAAATATAGAATTTTTAACTTAATTAATTAATTTATATAATTAAACCGTAATTAATATAGAATAATAAATTAGTCGAAGTTTTGCAAAGGAAAGGACCAGAGAGAGACGACAGTTATGCTCTCCTAGTCGTAATCTTTGGCTTAATTCTCTCCCCCACCTCCTCCACTCTCTTCCATCTCTCGCCGGCGATTTTGCTCGACGGTCTCCTTTCTTCGCTTGGACAACGCAATCGAAGCGGGAGAAACCCTAGCTTCGACGGAATATCTTCCCGACGCCGTGGAGAAGTTTTCCCCGGTCACACTCCCTAGATTTGGATCTGGTCATCGACTTCGGATCGGATTTATAGGGGTTTCAACGTGGCGGCAATGTGAATTCAGATCATCGAATGTGAGAAATGGTTGCTGCGGTTTCAACTTCGTTCAACGTTAAAGCTGCTCAGACGAAGGCTACGAGGCCGCCGGCGCCGTCGTTGCCGCCGGAATTGAACAGTTCTTCCGCCGCCGCCGCTAACCGCCGGCCGAAAATTCGAGATGTGGCCTCACGGTACCTCAGTACATCTACTTCTTCTTCCTGCTCTTCTCTTTCCTCGTTTTCGTCTTCGTCCTCCTTTAGATCATCTTCCTCTTCGACATCGTCATCGTCCTCTGCGGTTTCGGCGGCGAAGAGAAGTCCGTCACCGATGGTTTCCAGAACAAATCGGCCGTCAACTCCATCTGCTGCAAAGCGGTCGCAATCTGTGGGACGGAGAGAGCCGGTGACACCTAGGTCGGATTCGTCAGATCCAAGAGGTAAAGGAGAGGTCTCGACGGCGCAGAGAATGTTGTTGACTTCTGGGAGAAGCTTGTCAGCTTCACTTCAGGGGGATTCGTTCTCGAGGCAGCAGACGAACAGATCGAAGCTGACACCATCTCCGACTACCGGACGGAGAGGAACGCCGGAGAGGAGGAAGACGACCACGGTGGCGACACCTGGGAGCTGGGAGCGGAGCGGTTCAGCGCGAGAAGTCGAGGCCCGCTGAGCAGTGGCCGAGGTCTCGGCAGCCTAGTTCTCTGAGTAGAAGCGTGGACTTCACTGATGAGAGAAAGAAATTGAGCGGACCAGGCAATGGCGCAGTTAGAGCACTGCAGAGCTCCATGATTGATAATAGACTGGTTTCGCATGGAAGCGTCGCTTCAGATTCAACAAGTGCTGATAAGGATAGGGCAGATTCTTCGGCGGTTGGGTATGATTCCATCGTATCTGATACAGAGAGCGTGTCTTCCGGTAGCACTGTTTCTGGAGGGCAAGAGAGGATTGGAAGAGAGCAAAGGCTGTCTGCTCGTGGGGTTGTGGTTCCAGCTAGATTTTTGCAATTGACAAATAGTTGTCCCCGGCAGCAGCAAGAGCCTGGCTCACCAATGTCTAAAACTAATGGACTGAAGCCAATGGCATCCACGAAGCTCATTGCTGTGCCGAGAAAGTTCTCTGTGGATAGTCCTGTATCATCTCCAAAAGCAGTAGTCAACACGAGAGGGCAGTTATTGCCAATGCGTGATCAGCTTCGACCTGCTTCACCTAGCAAGTTGGCAACACCCGCAGCTTCTCTTCTGAGAGGAGCGAGCACACCTAGAGGAGTAAGCCCTTCGAGAGGCATGAGCCCTTCAAGAGAGAACCAATAGAATGACCCTCTTTTGGAACCACTTGTGTAATAATACAACGATTCGTTAGAATTACAGTTAACTTGTTAATGAAAACATCTCGTCACAGACAACACAAACTAAATTAATGTATAACATATAGATCCCATACAGTAATTTCGATATTTACACATATATAGCTTTTAACAATACCATGATTAAAAATTGTCTGAGATATTATCTTCTCTCTAACATTAGAATGATAGAAAACCTGATTGTGAAGATCAGCCTACAGATGATAGCCTGATCTGAAGGAAAAGGAATAATAAGCCGAATAGTGTAGTTGGTTGAGAAGAGAGAGATACATTTATCTCATATCCCATGTTCGAGTGGTCGTTGAAGAGAAATGATACATTGTTTTATTATATATGTGTGTATATATACACACGCACATCCACAATCCAAGCACGAAGTTGAGACCTACCACTACTCCGACATGCTTTCGAACTTGGGTGGTATTTACAAAGGGGCATAATTTTAAGACAGAACTGCGAGGCTACCCCGTACGGCACCCACCACCGACGGAGGAGCTGGAAGATTCGTCATGAACTCAAATGTTTCGGGTTTGGATTCTGATTCTGGGCGTTTGTCAGAATCTTTGGCAAAGATAAGATCCGAGGAGATTCTTCCACTTCCAGCATGTTCTCTTCTGGGATGGGCCAAGATCTTCGTTCTTGTGCAGCAAACCCCACATTATATGTATATCTTCATACTCACATGATCTCACGTCGTGCTGCAACTTGAGGAGTCCTGTTCATAGAAACCGTGACAATTAATGGACTGGACGGATCAAAGGGGAAAATTCTCTAGGAATCGATGAATGATAGTGCAGCGACCAGATGACGAACAACATGGCAATAACAAGCTCAATGGTATGACATGGAATCTGTTTTCTATCAAGAGCCCCCGCAGTTTTTTAATAGACGTAAAATCTCCCTTAATTCCAATTCAACCTCTAAAAATAGATGGATGATTAAGCTGAATTTGAATTGTGCTTAAGAATCTCCTAATCCTCATATTAAGAGTCTCGCTCCCGGATTAAACAGAGTAAAGTTCACATCTGCAGAACATTCTATTCCAATTAGTACTGTCCCATTCGTTAATCGAAGAAAGCAGAGTTTCTTCCGCCGACATTTTCAGAAACCATGAAGCTCCAAACCAACAAAATTCCCATGGATTAACCTAATTCCGATGATAGATACGAATCCTCAAACCTACCGCAGATTTACAGTCGTTATCCAATCATACAAAATGACACAGAAAAAAAGTTCATCTGTCAAATTCAAGCGATGAAACAGAGCCTCCGATCGTCGACAACACCCAAACCTCCGATCGACGGAAGACAGAGAGCAAGACAAGAAAACGAGAACGGCGGATAACATCGGCGAAAGTTTCACCAGCAGTCTCCGACGGAGGAGTGAAAAATCGGACGGCGGAGGGACTTACCGGTGCGGCGGAATCCGAGGCGTACGCCGATACGGTTCCAGATTCGTCTCGTCGGAAATGCCACCGCGGTCCACCACTGTCGCCGCCGTAGACTCGCCATGGAACTTCTCTCTCCGTCCTTCTCCAGTCACAGAGAGAGAGAGAGAGAGAGGTATAATGTGAATTGTGAAGCCCAACTACCGAAACTAGATTTTCTCCGATATTTTCGTATTTATATGCGAATCTGATATGATTAATCCAAAGATCTCGAACAATAATAAATCGATATTGTTAGTAAGTGGTAATTATAATATTATTTGTGTATAATGATTATAATATTCGAGCAAGTTTGAACGATTAGAGGTGACCAACTAACAGCAGCAGCTCTCTAGTGTTCTTATTTTATTTCATTTATATTTATGCAGGTACCAATTTATTTTTTATTTTATTTTCCCTGACCTTTCGGAGATTATTTTAATAATTAATGATTGACGTTATCAACGCCTAGATATTCGACACGTGTACGACGTCTCGAGTGCTTGCTGATTGCGATGCCTCAGCGACGTGTCGGTCGATTTTGCTTATTCCACGTGGCTATTTTCTATTGGTCTCAAACATGAAATCTTTGTTTTCCCATATGATAAATAACAAAATAAAACCTTATGTTAAATATTTCTCTTTTGTCTAATTTGTAAAACATCGAATTTTAATGCTTAGGAAAATATAAGATTCCCAAAGTACAGATGAAAACAGTCGGATATGTTCATATTTATGTAGGATTTTTTTTTTACAAGTTCTGTAATAATATACAATTTCTCCAAATAAAAAAAATTGTTCTGCAAAAATTAAATCATTTTCTGAAGATAAGTTGTATAAGTTTGTGTATATACATACACACATATATAAATCTCCTCTGAATTTTCGCCTTATATGGCATTAGCGCAGTGATATTTCGGGCCGAACCAAAACGACAATGTTTGGCTTTAGAAGACAAGAAGTGTTGTTCTCAAAAACAAAAACGCCAGGCAGTTTCTTAGTATACAGTAAAACATTTCCGTCCGGACCAAAGACGACACCGTTTGTGTTCAGAGGGAACAAGAAAACGACACGCTGTGCTATCTAAAATGTGAGAAACGACATGGGCTTACCGAGTAATGTTCCTCTTCATATTGGCCTCTTCCCTGCTGGAAGGAGAGATACTGTTTTTCGATTTCAAACATTTTCCTTCTAACTTCTCTTCACCTCAGTGTGTTGCTTCAGCTTCTCGATTTTTTATTCCGGCGAATTCTACGGTCATGATGAATCTAACGCACTCGGGGAGCTGATGTCAACGCGTTCCAAGCTGCGTTGAATCGAGACATCGAAGGTTCTATGTCGACTTCGCAGTTTTCTGGCACAAACACCGGTATGGGTTTTGGGGATCGATTCGTGTCGCCATTTCGTGATTTCGGTTTCAACACCATACCTCTTTCTGTCATTTTCGACTAATCTTTGTGTGATCAATCTTTGGTATATCGGTCCATATGTGAGATATGAATATCGATCTGGGATGTTGACCGATATCGACCTATGGGGTGGTCGATATCGATACAAACAGGAGGTCGATATCTGGCATATCATCGATATTTGCTTTAGAATCTGTGACTTCCCGGGCGACGACTAAGGTTGCTTAGATTCTCTATACGGGATTATATATGTATATCTTCATACTCACATGATCTCACGTCGTGCTGCAACTTGAGGAGTCCTGTTCATAGAAACCGTGACAATTAATGGACTGGACGGATCAAAGGGGAAAATTCTCTAGGAATCGATGAATGATAGTGCAGCGACCAGATGACGAACAACATGGCAATAACAAGCTCAATGGTATGACATGGAATCTGTTTTCTATCAAGAGCCCCCGCAGTTTTTTAATAGACGTAAAATCTCCCTTAATTCCAATTCAACCTCTAAAAATAGATGGATGATTAAGCTGAATTTGAATTGTGCTTAAGAATCTCCTAATCCTCATATTAAGAGTCTCGCTCCCGGATTAAACAGAGTAAAGTTCACATCTGCAGAACATTCTATTCCAATTAGTACTGTCCCATTCGTTAATCGAAGAAAGCAGAGTTTCTTCCGCCGACATTTTCAGAAACCATGAAGCTCCAAACCAACAAAATTCCCATGGATTAACCTAATTCCGATGATAGATACGAATCCTCAAACCTACCGCAGATTTACAGTCGTTATCCAATCATACAAAATGACACAGAAAAAAAGTTCATCTGTCAAATTCAAGCGATGAAACAGAGCCTCCGATCGTCGACAACACCCAAACCTCCGATCGACGGAAGACAGAGAGCAAGACAAGAAAACGAGAACGGCGGATAACATCGGCGAAAGTTTCACCAGCAGTCTCCGACGGAGGAGTGAAAAATCGGACGGCGGAGGGACTTACCGGTGCGGCGGAATCCGAGGCGTACGCCGATACGGTTCCAGATTCGTCTCGTCGGAAATGCCACCGCGGTCCACCACTGTCGCCGCCGTAGACTCGCCATGGAACTTCTCTCTCCGTCCTTCTCCAGTCACAGAGAGAGAGAGAGAGAGAGGTATAATGTGAATTGTGAAGCCCAACTACCGAAACTAGATTTTCTCCGATATTTTCGTATTTATATGCGAATCTGATATGATTAATCCAAAGATCTCGAACAATAATAAATCGATATTGTTAGTAAGTGGTAATTATAATATTATTTGTGTATAATGATTATAATATTCGAGCAAGTTTGAACGATTAGAGGTGACCAACTAACAGCAGCAGCTCTCTAGTGTTCTTATTTTATTTCATTTATATTTATGCAGGTACCAATTTATTTTTTATTTTATTTTCCCTGACCTTTCGGAGATTATTTTAATAATTAATGATTGACGTTATCAACGCCTAGATATTCGACACGTGTACGACGTCTCGAGTGCTTGCTGATTGCGATGCCTCAGCGACGTGTCGGTCGATTTTGCTTATTCCACGTGGCTATTTTCTATTGGTCTCAAACATGAAATCTTTGTTTTCCCATATGATAAATAACAAAATAAAACCTTATGTTAAATATTTCTCTTTTGTCTAATTTGTAAAACATCGAATTTTAATGCTTAGGAAAATATAAGATTCCCAAAGTACAGATGAAAACAGTCGGATATGTTCATATTTATGTAGGATTTTTTTTTTACAAGTTCTGTAATAATATACAATTTCTCCAAATAAAAAAAATTGTTCTGCAAAAATTAAATCATTTTCTGAAGATAAGTTGTATAAGTTTGTGTATATACATACACACATATATAAATCTCCTCTGAATTTTCGCCTTATATGGCATTAGCGCAGTGATATTTCGGGCCGAACCAAAACGACAATGTTTGGCTTTAGAAGACAAGAAGTGTTGTTCTCAAAAACAAAAACGCCAGGCAGTTTCTTAGTATACAGTAAAACATTTCCGTCCGGACCAAAGACGACACCGTTTGTGTTCAGAGGGAACAAGAAAACGACACGCTGTGCTATCTAAAATGTGAGAAACGACATGGGCTTACCGAGTAATGTTCCTCTTCATATTGGCCTCTTCCCTGCTGGAAGGAGAGATACTGTTTTTCGATTTCAAACATTTTCCTTCTAACTTCTCTTCACCTCAGTGTGTTGCTTCAGCTTCTCGATTTTTTATTCCGGCGAATTCTACGGTCATGATGAATCTAACGCACTCGGGGAGCTGATGTCAACGCGTTCCAAGCTGCGTTGAATCGAGACATCGAAGGTTCTATGTCGACTTCGCAGTTTTCTGGCACAAACACCGGTATGGGTTTTGGGGATCGATTCGTGTCGCCATTTCGTGATTTCGGTTTCAACACCATACCTCTTTCTGTCATTTTCGACTAATCTTTGTGTGATCAATCTTTGGTATATCGGTCCATATGTGAGATATGAATATCGATCTGGGATGTTGACCGATATCGACCTATGGGGTGGTCGATATCGATACAAACAGGAGGTCGATATCTGGCATATCATCGATATTTGCTTTAGAATCTGTGACTTCCCGGGCGACGACTAAGGTTGCTTAGATTCTCTATACGGGATTATTTCCGCATTGTGAGGCTCATACCCAGCTTTCTGATGGCTTCATTGGAAGGGTTGAAAGCTGAAGTTGAAACCTAATAATGCATGCTCATTTCTGAAAAACAATGAGGATTTTTGGATGGTTAATTAAGAATACTGTCAAATTCTTAGATATTTGGATTGGTTTAGATGCATGAGTATGGTCGTAAAGACAGGTTTGTGCCTTAGTAGTAGGGCATCTTTCATGTAGACTGCAGGGAATCTATAAGAACTTTAGCTGATTATGTTTATGATCCAAAAGACTTGTTCATAGTATCAAGCTTTTAGACGCTTACCTTTTGTAGATGAATAAGTCAATAAGTGGCGAAGTTGAACCATAGTTCATACCTACTGTAGGAAATCTATAGTTTGGTACTTTTTTTGGGTATGCAAATTCTTAGAAGGGTCGGGTTTCTTGGCTCGTGAATAATTACAGAAACTGGTTTCTGGGCTAACTTAAGGTAAGGCAGGTGGGGAACTCAAGAATCGACTAAGATGTGTGAAAGACTCAGCTTTAAAGCTGAAGAAGGGACCTGAATCAGGGATATTTTTAGGGCGTAGATGTGCAAAGAACGCCACTACGTGTGTTATGGAATATGCTCGATGTTGGCTCGTTGAGCCAGCATCATGGCTGATGCGAAGTTAACAACTAGTTTAGATGACTTCCTGTGTTTTCTTGATTGTCAGGACATGTATTAGGTTGATGATCCTGCTGATGCCTTAATGATACTGAGTACTGTGCTTTTAGTGGACTTATGTGGAATAAACCTAATTTGCTATATTTTTGTGTTCATACATCACTGCTGATTCGTTTTATTTCTATGCCTCAGGTGCTTAAGTGACCATTTTTTATATATCCGTGGTGTTAGTCTGGAAGTTCCTTTGTGATGCGTTGCGTAAACGAATATGTGGAAACTACATCAATTAATAGCCTGGACCATATAAAATCATCTGTAACAGTGAAACACTAGTTAATTTCGTTTTTTTTTTTTTTTGTGTTTCTTCATCTGGGTTTTTCCATTTTTTACATGAGATTCTGAATTACATCAATTAATAGCCTGGGCTATTGTGTTTCAAGGAAGCAACCATTCTTCCAGCCAGGCTTTTCTAACTTGGGAGAATGTGAATGGGGATGCTAATACCAACCTCCATAGACAGCCCAGCCTAGAAAGTGCTCAGATGAAGGAGCAACAAGGATCAGCCTTAGAGAATGAACGCCAAAATGGCGTAAAATGTGCGAAAAATTCTCATTTACAACACAACCAGCCTCAGGATCATCGTGAATCAGGTCAACTGTGGGAGAGGCCTCTTCAGGTTTCCCAAACACCTGGGTTGCAGGTTTCTGAGAAGAATCCTCTTTCTACTAAACCAAAGAGATCTCATAATCAAGAGAGTGAATCCATGAAATTGCAGAAGATGAGTAGTCAACAGGCCCGTGCAATGAAACAACCTGTTGACCCTAGAAACCGTGATCCTAGGAAAGTGTCATTTTCTGTATTTCTGCAGACCCTACAGGCCCTATTGGATAAAGATAGGGCAATGCAGCTCCATATCCTGAGTGCTAAGCTCCAGGTTGGTCAACAACACTTTTGTGAAATTTCAGCATCATGTTCACTATAAAAAAAATTGTTAGACCTCTTACAACAATTTTCTTCTGATACATGGTGACAGAGAAACGAAATTTCAAAGGATGTATTCGGACGACATATGAGAGATATTGTAGATGATCAAATTATGAGGCTGGCATATAGGAAACTGCAACAGGTACTACTAATTTGTATTGTTTTCAAGATATTATGTTGCATGATTGCTAATGCAATGTCTGCAACGAGGTTTGAGCTTACCTGTCGGCCTGATCTCAGTTTGTGCAAATAGTATCAGATTTGCACCTATGTAGATAAAGCACGATGTCTAACGAAATGTTGATCCTTTATGTGTCAGCCAAATTCTCATGCCCGACCTGTGACCTCTCCAGCAGGAGTTACCGTTAAGAGAGCTCCGAAAAATCGCGTTGTTTGTCAGAAGAAACCACCAAGGTAATAGAACCATTCGGATTGTGAAATGGAGAACTATAGTGACAGCTTGCTCAGACCTTTTCTTTCCGGTTTGCTATTTAGATTTATAACTGAAATTTTATGGACCGACTTACAGAAAGAAGCAGAAAGTAACCGGACCATCTACGAATCAAAGTATTGGACAGCTTAATGGTGTCGCTGCAGTCAGTGGTGTCAATCTCAGGGTACGCGGTTTTTGTCATAATCCTGAGTGATGAACACTGAATGAATCATTGGTATCTGCATTTGGTTTAGGAAGTAGAGGAACACTGAATGATCATATTGGTATTTGCATTTGGTTTAGGAAGTAGAGGAACACTGAATGATCATATTGGTATTTGCATTTGGTTTAGGAAGTAGAGGAACCCTCTTGGTTGAAAAATGCGCGAGGCGTCCCGAAGCGCAAAAGATCCAAAAACCCGAGGCGAAGGCGCACGCCTCAGGTATGTGAGGGGCCTAATCATTTTTATATCAATATATATACACACTATATAAACATAGATTATATAGTTTAGTTCACTACAAAAAAATCCTCAAATTCCAACGGATTTTCCAACGGATTTGTCCGTTGGAAAATTTCCAACGGATTTTCAACGGTTTTCAACGGCGTTTCAACGACGATCTCCGTTAAAATTTCGTTGAAAATTTCCAACGGATACTCGTTGGAAACGCCCGTTGGAAATTTTTAACGGAATTTTCAACGTATTCAATTGAAAAATTAGGTTGGAAATTTCCAACGGTATTTCCAACGGATATCCGTTGGAAATTTTCAATGGATTAACGTTGGAAAAATCGGTTGCAAATTTTTAACGGAGTTCCAACGGATGTTTGTTAGAAAACAATTCCAACGGAATTCCAACGGATGCCGGTTGGAAATTTTTTTGGAAATTTTTTTAAAAAATTCCAACGGATGCCGGTTGGAATTTTTTTTGGAAATTTTTTTAAAAAAATTTTCAACCGAATTCCAACGGATGCCGGTTGGAAATTTTTTTGAAAATTTAAAAAAAAAATTCCAACGGACATCGGTTGGAAATTTGGATTTTAATTGAAAAATCAATTGAAATATATATATATATATATATATATTTATATATATATATATATGTATAATATATATTTGTTATGTATATATAAAATATATATACACAAAATATACATGTATTTATACATATATATACGTATAAATATATAAAAGACTCGTATATTTAAATATATATATATATACATACATATAAATATATATATGTATATTAAGGAGGTATATATATAAACAAATATTATATATATATGAATTCGAATATATATATGTATATATACGTTGCAAAATTATTTCATTGCAAATTAGCAACGAAATTCTAAATTGTTTTTTTTTAATTTTTATATTAATTTTAGCAACGAAAAATTTTCGTTGCTAAAAGACTGTTTTTTGTAGTGTATATTAACGAGATATATATATACGTATAAACAAATATTTTATATATTTATACATATATATATGTATAAATATAGGTATATTTTGTGTTTATATATTTTTATACAAATATGATGTGTATATATACACATATATGTATACGAATAAGCATATATATATATATTAACCATATACATATACATAACAAAAATATATATATTTATATGAATTCGAATATATATATACATATATGCGTATATATATGTATATTAAGGAGGTGTATATATACGTATAAACAAATATTTTATATATTTATACATCTATATATGTATAAATATAGATATATTTTGTGTTTATATATTTTTATATATACAAATATGATGTGTGTGTATATACACATATATGTATACGAATACGTGCATATATATATATATTAACCATGTCGGGTCAGGTCGGATCGGGGTCGGGGTCGGGTCGGGAATATGTTTCGAATTTTTCGTTGGAAAATTCCAACGGAATGTGGTTGAAATTTCATTGGAAAATTCCAACGGATATCGGTTGGAAATTCCGTTGGAAAATTCCAACAGATTGCGGTTGGATTTTTTCAACCGAAATTGCGGTTGGAAATCCGTTGGAAAATTCTAACGGAAAAATTCGTTGAAATTCCGTTGAAAATTCCAACGGTTTTCCAACGGACACCGATTTCTAACGACGAAATTCCAACGGATAAATCCGTTGGAAATCCGGTGGAAACGTTAATTTCCAACGGAAATTTGGCCATTTCCAACGGATTTACCCGTTGGAAATGACCATTTTTTTTTGTAGTGGTTAGTATATATTTATTATATATAAATATAATCTAAATTTATAATAATATAAATAAAAATAAAATTATGATGATAGATAAATATTATTTATTTTTAAAAATCTTTTATAACAAATAATATAGTTTGAATTTTGTTTTTAAACTATTTATAAATTTAGTTTTATATAGTTTGTAAAAATATACATTTTAAAATTATTAAACTAAAATTTTGAAATATTATTATAAATTTATAACCAATTTTAGTAATCTTTAATTAATAATTGATAATATAATAATATAGATAAAATTAGATTACAATATTTGACATATATTCTGTAAGATATTCTACGGTTTTCAATGCATTATAAATATACATATGATTTATATATACACTATTACATAATTAATATTTTCTTATATACATATTTTCGTAGCCGATTTCACGGAACAATGGACGGAATCTACCTGAGGGTTTCGGTGCAATTGTTTCTCCACATGTGCATTCCGACAAGAGCCTCGAGCGGCGGATCGACAGCCTGGAACGCAGAGTGGAGATGCATAAGAAACTGGTGGAGGAACAACAAGCGAAGATAGAGATGCATGAGAAATCGTTGGAGGAACAACAAGGAAAGATATCCCATCTCGAGCGGATCGTGGAGCTGCTACGAAGGGGCCGACCGATCCCCGCCTCACCTCTTGCATCACAAGATACAGGGACATCTCGGACCTGAAATTGTGGGACGATGAATGTAGATGATGAAGAAATACATAGTTTGGAGTAGTTGTTCATATTTCGGATATTTTTTTAAATTTTTTTTGAATATTAATATGTAAAACTATTTGAATTTTTTGTATAGTGTTTTTTAAAATTTTTATCATTATATTTTATATATTATTATAAAAATATATAAATTAAATGTTTTAAAATAAAATAAATATATGATTTTAAATTGATTAAAACATATTCTAACATAATTCAGTTGGAAATTTCGGTTGAAGAATTTCATCTAATTTCTAACGATTCTCCACTAATAATTACCAAGTTTTATTATGTTGAAAAGACTCATTGAACTTTTTCAATTGATATTTCGAATAGACTTCTTAAAAAGACATAATCGTTGCTAAATTCAATCGAAATTTTTAACAACGTTCCAATGATATGTACGTTTCAATATTTCAACGGTTGTCTATTGATATTTTATGCTACGGATTTTGCAATGGTTATCTATTCATCAATAGATATTTTAACTGAGTATCACTATTCAACAGATAGAACCCAACATATTTCGTGTCATTTCCAACATATATATATATATATATATATATATATACACGTTGGAAATGTCCTTATTTTGTTTTGTAGTGGAACAACTATTCTTGCAGCGGATAGTAGCGGAAAATAAGTAATGACTTTGAACGTTGATTGTCTTTGTAAGGGTGTCAAAATGTACGGGTTGGCCTGACCCGACTCGGTCTTAGCCTGAGGTAAGGCAAGCTCGAACATTTGCCACTACAGAGAGGTTGATTCGATCCCGCGGCCTCAGATGGATGACGATATCTTGTGAAAAGCCATAACATTTTTGTTATGTTAACCATAACAATGTTACATACTCATTAGTTCCAAAATCTACACCATGTTTTTTTTATTTGATTATTTTGAAGGAATTACTAGCTCATTTTTCCCATCTCCGGTCGTATGATGATTTGATGTCGGTCCTAGTTCTTCTTGCCGGTCTCGGACGGGAGGTTTGAGCCGCCGTGTCCATACCCTCCACCGTCGCAAGGGCCAATGCAGCCGCCTCCTCCTACGCCTCCTCCTCCAACTCCGTATCCGGGCCCACTTCCTCCGCCCGAGCCATACCCTCCCACAGGAACGAACCCTCCACCAACCACAACCCCGCCGCCGATACTGCCATGACCGCCGAATGCGCCACCGAAACTCGGCCCGACTCCACCACCGTAGCCTCCTCCGGTTGTGATATCGCCTCCGTATCCGGTTAGGTGTTGATTATTACTCTTACTCATCTCACTGCTCTTGCGGGATCCTGAGTCTCTCATGGATCCAACTCCTTCTCTTGCAGCTTCTACAATCATTTGGCCAAAGAGGCATATGCTCAGGACAAGAAGAACATACCTCAAGAGTTTTCTTTCCATGACTTTTGTATTCATCTACAAAGTGAGTTGCAATTGTAGTTTAGAATGTGAAAAAGCCTAAGGATGGTATATATATATATATGTATACACACACGCAAATACACAAGCTTGTATGGAGATGGCAATGTGAGGTTTTAAGTGGATGGTTTCCATGGCCATGGATGTGTGATGAGAGAGGACGCTCCCACAGGGTTTTTCAGGTGATGGGTCCAATTTGCATGACTAGTACTGCACTCTTTCATTTGGTTATGAACCGAATTCAACTAAACCGAAATCAAATTGAAATCCAAAGTAACCCGAGTCTCGGTTTGTAGACTCAATTGCTATAATCTGATCTCTATTTTTCATGTACACCTTTTTCGTAAGTCTGAATTCGTAGTAATCGAATTGAGATAGGTATCATAGATGATCTGAAATTTAAAAAAAAAAAAAAAACTGTTAGGTGTTTACCATAACGAAATCAAACAATGTGGTGTATTTAATTATATTGGGAACCCTAAAAGATTATTTTGAAGAATATCGTATTTTTAATCTGAACCGTTGATTAACTTGATACGATCGATCACCATCGTTCATTTGCAACAAGCAATTGCAATCGCTGATCACTCAGAGAAAATTATGACCGTTGATCCGTAAGGAATGATCATAACCGACGATAGACAGATACAATTATGACTGTTGATCCACTAGAAAAGATCTCAACCGTACAAATCTCGACCATCAACTCTTAGAAACGATCTCAACCGTCGATCATTCATTTAGAACCTAAAACGTCGATTCTTTAGATGTGATCGGGACCGTTCATCTGTAACAAGCGACTGCGATCATCAATTTACTACAGCAAATCTTGACCGTCAACCTGCTAGAATCACAAACATTGATTTACACATGCAATCCTGAATCGTCGATTCTTAGGATATGATCACCGTCGTTCATCTGTAACAAACGATCTCAACCGTCGATTTATCAGAACAAATCTAGACCTTTGATCTGTAAGATAGGATCACAACCGTCGATAGACAAAATCAATCTTGACCGTCGATCCATTAGAAAATATCTCAACCGTTAACGGACATAAAATTGAAATTCATTTACTTTTCAATAGTTCTCTAACATATTTTTTTTGTTGTTGTAAAAGTAGAATGACAGATCTGAAGTATATAAAACATCTGTCGGAATATTTACAACTTCAAAGAAATTCCCTACCTGTTCCTTGATGAGTATACACAGAGATTTCTTGCGTTCCACGTTTTCTTTGCTATTGATGCCTTGTCTCAGAAGCAACCGCTTTATGCCGGTTTGCCGATGAACCCTGCATTGTCTTTATCTTCGGTCCTTGCGATAAATCTTCTCCGCCGGAATTGAACCTTAATTCCGCAGGAGGGATGAAGCAATCCATCGATAATCCCGGAACATTAAACGCGATTTCGTCGATAACCCACGCTTCTTGCATCGTGGTTCGGGTATTATGTCCCGTAGACATATCGCCAAACCTCAAAAGCGTCGCCATGGACCGGCCCGAGTGAGCTACCATGATTCCTTCCACGGATCTGTAGTCTTCGAGGTATGAATTGATAGTCGTTTCCCAGTGTACGGCTTCTCCGCCGTTGTTTTCGATTCGGGTCAGATGGGAATCCTCTAAGTGAACGAGAAGGCCGGTTTTCTGGCTGAAGTAACCAAACAATGTGTGCCTTATCGTCTCTGATGCACCTTCGCTTCTGGCTTTTAGTGTCGCCGGGTCTGCGCATAGCTTGAGAATGAAACAGTCTTCTCCATCGATCTTTTTCTCACCGATGCACCTCGCGTTTGCAAACATATTCGCCGTGGTTCTCGGGTCAAGGCCCTGAAAGAGGTAACAGAAAACAATTTAATCTTTGTTCTATGGGGAGAGGAGGAACTCCATTATCAAATCCTCAATTCTGGGATCTCGATATCTCTAGCAATATGTACATGTTTCTATCACGGGTTTGGCCAATTTCTCTGGAATTCCTATCTTTGTTCATAACAGAGTTACCAAGTTTATATGCTTAACCAAATCAATTCTAATAGATATCGTAGTTTCGAAGGCCGAAATTCTGCTGGTGAACTGCATTTTTCAGCTTATCCATTTGAAATGTTTTCTCCTTGGCTGGTTAAGATTTTAGAATATAATGAACTGGTGATGGAATATTTTGATTTCTAAAAGGCCATAACGAGCCTTCTTCTTGAGTTACGTTTTCGTTGATCTTCCCCTTAGAACTAAGTAACCTCATGGAAAGGAAGTAATATCGGGAACCAACCAAAGGACCGATGAACTCACCTGAAGAGCACGTCGTAATGGTCTAACAGGACCTTTTGCAGCGTGAGGTCCAAGCCATGGCGTGTGCCTCCACACGAGCTTTCCATCACAACCTGCAAGAACCTTGCTCCCACCAAGCACAAGCTCCATGTACCACATGTCAGAATTCATCTGCCACAACACAAAGCTTCCTGACTCGACGGCCTTGGACGTGTTCTTGCCCTTTGAGACCTTTGAGGCTGTCTCGAACTCCGAAGCCATCATCCTGACTCTTCCCGTCACGTATGCATTGTGGACAGAGGTATGGAGCTTCTGGCCACCTGATGCAGCTGCGTACTGCTGAAGTATGTACTGGGCAGAGGAGGTTTCCTGAAATTTGAAAAATCGAAACAGTGAAAAATGAGAATTGAGAACTATCCCCCAAATTGATGGGACTCAGGTTAATCTTCTTCTCCTATCACCTCAAGCCTCATGCTGTATTTAAAACCAAAAAAGCCAAGCTCATGACCTTTTTTGATATCTTCAGAATTAAAGGGAAGTCAGATATAAATCATATTACCCTCTTTGCAGAGTAATAGGATACATCATCCATCTGCTGTTTTCAGTCTACAGAATGACCTCAGAGAGATAAGGTTAGGAGAATGAGAAATGCGTGATAATCCCAGTTGAGCTAAAGAAGAGTTATTTGCAGGAGAACAAGAATGAAACACTGTTTTTTCTTCCTTTGCTACAATCAAACTTAATGGAACGAAATTCACGTGAATCTCTCCATCCACAGATAAGTATGCTGAAAATCAATAGAGATAGTAATGGTAATCCTTCTCCATGATTAGTCTGCAAAATAATTTTCACAAAATATTCAACCAAGATCATGGAACAGAAAGAGCGAAATTCTCACAGAGAAATTGAATTAAAGTAATATTGTCACCAATTTTATCTACTTCTTCCTAATTCGCAAAAATCACGTTCTCATGGGAGTCATGGGACTACAATCGAACACCATGCGTGCAGACAACAGAGAATAGGCTCTCACCATGGGAGTATTCTTGATGCTGAGGTGTGGGAAACAATCCAGCGAGCTAACGTGCACAGGACCCAGCGGTGCACCAAGCACGCCGAGAAGAAGCCTCAGATCCGTCCGTCGGAAGCCACCGGAAGACGACAAGACCGACGGCGGAGCCACCGGCAACTGACACTTCATCCAATTATACCACCGACTCTCGAACCTCGAGTGATCTCCGCTGCCTCCAGCGTATTCTCCGCCGTCTGGATCAGGCCCCTCCCTAACCGGCGGCAACATCTCCGGCACGTGCGACAAGTGGCGGCCCCTCCGACGCCGGAGAATGCTCGGAGACACGGTTCTCGCCGGGCTTTTGGATCTTGATCGCCGAGAATCTCCCTTGGAGAACAATCCTCGCTTCTTATCATCCATAGTGAGTGCGTGTGTCAGAGAGAGAGAGAGAGAGAGAGAGAGAGAGAGAGAGAGGGGAAGGTTTGGTGCGAAAAGCTTCAGGAGAGAGAGAAACACAAAGCTAACGGGAAAGAGAGCATTTGCGTCGAAGCGAAGTGTTTTTCATATAAATCTCCATTTTGATTCGTTGAGACGCTTTGTTATTTTTTTTTTCATTTCCTTTTTTTTTCATTTTGTTATTTTATATATATATATATATATATATATATATTGTTTTCCAATTTTCTATTTGTGTGTGTGTGGTTTGCTAACAAGATAACAAATGCGGAAAGGAGAAATCATTGCATTGCTCAAAAGGAATTAAAGTTTCATAATTACACATGAGATATTCGCCTTCACATATTCAACAATGAAGAAGAAGATGGCATGCTTCTAGCATAGTTTAGTTAAATATTTTCATAACACTATATAATATAATCCTTAATTTATTAAGGACAATCCAAATTTGGATATGGTAAAAAAAACATACAAAACATGTTTTTATCTCGAGTTTAAATACAAATGCGAAAAGAGACATTCATCTAAATTTCTCTGGTTTTCTTTGAAATGTAGTTAGACCAAATGTTTGGTGAATTTTTGGATTACGAAAAAATTCAAGTGGTAAGAGAAAATGCAAAATATACTATTAACCGGATTCAAATCCAAACGTAGGAGGAGTATTCACCTAGATTTTTTCGATCATCTGAGAGGTGTAGTTGAGTCAAAGATTCGGTGTCGGATTATCAAAAAAAAATATTACGAACAACTGTAATTAAACTCATTTTTAATTACCCTAAACCAAATAAATTTACTGTCCAATATTTTATTGGTAAGTCTCTAATGACACTCCAAGTGGGGGATAATCTACAATCCAACCATCCAATTGATTTGATACGTTATTATCATTTTTTTTTGTCACTTCTTTTATTAAAATGGTTTTTTTAAATATCTCTTTGTTTTTTTAAAAATTTTGTATCTTTATTGGTTCATATTTTCATAATGAACTAAAAGAATACATTATAAACTAATTTATTGGGAGGTTGTTAGATATTACACCAATAATTTTCCATCATTAAACAATTGAACCAATAACATGATCAAAATTTAAACCAAAAATACCAAATCTTAATTTATGATCCATGGAATCCATACATATATATATGATGATAATTGAATTGATTTTAAATAGAAATGGCAGTTTGGAATGATTTCATTACAAATAGATTTGAGATATAATGATTATATAATACTTAACACACACCGTTTTATTTAATTAATATTTGGATATGAGATACTCCATAATACAATGTGGTATTATGTAACGATATTAACGTAATCATCTCGAAATTCTTCTAAATTGCGGATTAATATAATATATTATTTATATCAAAATTTCCGAAAAATATATGACGATGATTAGTGAAAAATCATACCCTAATTAAAGTAGTCTCTAGGATTTGGTTTACACGCTAAACTAATTTTATCAAATATCATGTTGTCACGATTATTTTCATATCCAGAATTAATTATCACCAATCAACTATTTCCCTATATTAATTTATTTTATAAATTATATTTCTACAAATCTTTGCTTCCTAGCCAAATTGCAACTGTACATATTATTGATATGAAAAATACAACATAAATATTCCAAATTATTTTGATATGAAAAATTCAACAACTTAGTCATAATTATTTCAATTATTCTGGGCCTTTGGGTTTGGGATCACCCGATTATAAAAAAAAATTATTTCAATTATTTATATACATTAGCAGAATCTAATATTAATTATGAATAAATCTCTAAAAGACTAAATTAATATTCTATATTTTTATTGCAATATTTTCATAATACTCTATATCTACCTTAAACCGTCGTTCAGTTGGTGCATATATATATATATATATATATATATATGATATATATAATATGTAACTTTTGGAATTTAAAACGGTGAAAAAGGTGAAAAGAAAAAGGAAAAATCGGGAGGCGGGAAGCAACGGTCCGAAAAATGGGAAGAAAAAGAATGAAAATAAAATTAAAATAAAAATAAAAATTTGATATATGAAAAAGAAAAAAAAATAGAGAGGGGGGTGGAAGTAATAATCAACGATGATGACAGAGGCCGAGCATGCGAGGTTGGTATGTCTCATGATGCATCTTCTACAGCCTACCACTTTTGACATGTAATTGAAAAAGCATCCATGTATATATTATACATATATATATACATTATTTGATATATAATATGTAATTATACATATATCTATATATATATATATATGATATAATATGTAATTATGTAATTGGTTACAATTTTCCAATCACGGCCTTTATATAAAGTTTTTTTTTTCCCTTTTAACGCTCTTCATTATTCATGCTGCGATGTGATTATTCACACGGTTGTTTTCTTCATAACAAAAAAATGTAATCTTCGTGTATATATACATATATATGATTTCATCCGTGGATTACAAGTCAATGCTTTATAATCATACCTACTTTTTTTTGTATATTATTTCGGTTTACAAATCATAATCAAGATTTTTATTTGAACTTCGACGTAATTAGATAATTCTAAAACTCTAGTATTAAGGCATCATGCATGTGTTCATTTTCTCACACACTCATATCCCTAAAAATATCATTAACCTCTTAAAACAAAAATTTCAACCTATGATAATCATAAATTTTGCTTTTGTTTACGATATTAATTAGAGTTTTTTGTTATCCGATTTCATAATTTAGTACGAGGGTGGGTGATATTTTGTTAATATTTCATATTACTTTTTCAGAAACTTTTGTCTGAAAAAAATATTTTAAAAAAAAAAATCTTCATGGGTTTGGTTGTAACTTGTAAATGAACAATGTGATATGTCACGGCCCATCAGAACCATGGGCCTTATTTATGGGCCTCATCCTCGAACTCTTTTTGACAAACTCAAATATTTTTATAGGATATTTAAATTCTATATTAAATAGCGGAAACACCTAAATAAAAAAAATTGTTTTTGAAAATGGAAATTTTTAATGAAAATAGAATTGGAATCAAAATGAAATAGAATTCAAGCAAAAAAATAAAATAAAATGAATATATATTGTTTTTATAAACCTGAAATACAATTGAAACTCAAAATTTTAGCAAGTTGTAGATTTTTTTCATAAATGAGTTTCTAGTAACTCTCAAAGTTTAGCGATTATATTCAATTTTTTTTTTTCAAATCATAATTTAAATTTGGAAAAAATTGGTTTGTAGTTTGAAATTTATTTATGATTGATTATAAAGATGGACATGACAAATCTATCAAGATTTTGATGGAAAATAATAACAATACTCACCAACCTAGGATATATTTAGGTAAAGAGTGATTGTCCTTTTCATTTAGTATAAAAACAAGTGTTTAAATCCAAGCTTCGTTTAGTATAAAAAAAAATCCATCCAAGATTTTATATATTTGTTTTTTCGAAAAATTCGGTAAATCATTTCATTGAAAAAAATTAGATAAAATTCATAAACCTATATTTTTTATTTTCATATTTTATAAAAATGTAAAAACTATGAAAACCAAAAACCAAAAACAAAAAAAAAACCCAAAAGAAAAACTATCACCATTCACAAGGGAAATTTAAAAAGTCTTTAATAAAACTTAAATCCAAATTAGACCGTTCCTTGAATTAATCCGAATTCAAAAATCATATTTTAATTACCCCCTAGGGGTAGGTGGGTGGGTGTTGGTGCACTAAAAACTATGGCTCTCAATTACATTTTCGCCGTACCATACATTTGTATTATTATATAAATCACGAGCACGCAGAGAGTTAGCACAAAATTAGGTATTAAATCCGATAATAAGCAATTGATTACCAAAATAAAATAAAATGAAATAGAAAAAGAAATAACACCGACAAATTTCACGTGAGGAGAAGCAACAAGAGGGCGTACGTGGTCTCACCAATTGTGAATGAAGGACCCATCACCCATCTTTGTCCTTTTCTCCTCTCGATGATTCCACAAATGAAATAACAAATTCCATTTATATATATATATATATATATATATATACATACAACATGTTTAATGATTAATTGAAATTAATTAAATTTAGTTACATATTAGCAATTCTTATGTCCTTCTATATTTAATAAAACCCAATTAATAGTTTTATTCGTATACTATCATTGGTACGACCTAATTTTTTTTATAAAAATTGAGGACATCGGGAGACTTTTTCACCATGCAACTTTGCTTCAAAAGAGGGGAAAGGGTTTATATATATATATATATAAACTCAGATTTCATAGCATCATAAAATATATTTTTCTTGGGTAAATCATAATACTATAGAAATTTATAAATGTAAAAAGGGTAAGTAAATAAAGAGGAGATCATCACATATCTTTAGTAGGGCCCATGATATGATGTATCATACAATTTCGTTTGTTCATTTGTTACAGTGGTTATAATTCTTCTTCCGTGTATATATCTAATGGCCAAAAGATATTTTATCATATGGTTGAATGGATTTGGATACAAAATCAATACTGTCAAAATGGAATTGGTCCAATATTAAATCAAGAATACGACCAATTTGTCTCATTCCTTAGTTTTAAGTTTTAACTAATTAAAAATGCATTTTACATTTGATTGTTTTTCCTTTTGTTTTATATTAAAATCAATTTCAACTCACTAATACAAGACAAATTGAGCAAAAAAAAAACTTCGGAGACAAATTTAATCCACTTACATCTTTTTTTTATTAAATCAATATCCTATTATTACTTTCCCCCAAAAAAATTCAACAATTATTTTGTTCAACATTTAATCCAGTTGTTAGTTGATCTTGTATCATTTCATTTGCATCTCTATATATTACACGAAAGTTCAAATTTTATTTCACCACATTCTAGATCTTTCCACAATATATATATATATATATATTAAATTTCATAAAACTGTCCTAGGCTCAAAATGCATGGAACAAAGGAATCTCACTTTACTTTCAACCACTACCCATTGCAATTAAAAAATATAAAATTAAAACGAAAGCTTATAGTGAGTCAGTCGAGTGGTTGTCTCACACAACAATAACCAAAAAAAAAAACCCTTCAATTTAAATACCACACAACTTTTGGTGGCTCACCACTTCAAATCAAAAGCCCTCTTCTTACACAAAATTAAAGCTTCGCTTCTTTTTTTTTTTGAAATCAAAAACCCTTTCTCATCATTCAGATTCGGCACATTCCACCAAAAACACGAACCCTTCACTCTCTGTTTTTTTTTTTCCGACAATGAAACTAAACGTCTTCGTATTGTTCCTTCTCTTGGTCGCTCTTCTCCTCTCTTCTTCCGTCGTCGAGGTCTCCGCCGGTTTAGGTGAGATTCCATCTCTTTTTTCCTTCTTCTAGTTTTAGTACACTAAATTATGACATAGTTCTAACATTCTAATAAACTATAAGATAAATCGCATCTTTTAAAAAATAACCTGTCAAAAATTGTCGTGTAAATATACAAATTTTGAAATTTCTAAAAAAATGCCATAAACCTACATAAAAGTTTGCAGATATCTCATGTAGTGTTTTTGTAGGTTGTTATCACTTGTTTTTATTACAGATGGTGGAATGAGTACAAAATGATATATACTGAATGACCTGTTATGTATTTTAATACGTATACAAAATGAACCAAACAAAAAAAAAAAGCAGGATGCGGGAAAAAGTGCGGGGTGAGATGCTCGAAGGCGGGGGTGAAGGAAAGGTGCTTGAAGTACTGCGGGATATGCTGCGTCAAGTGCAAAGGCTGCGTCCCTTCCGGAACTTACGGCAACAAGCACGAATGCGCCTGCTACAGGTCCCTCAAGAACTCCAAGGGAAAGCCCAAATGCCCTTAATAAATATCTTCCTCACTATTACATAATAAATATCTTTTTTTTTTTATAAAAAAATTCAGTTTCTGTACAACTTTGTGTGTGTTAAAATAATAACATTTATGAGTTTGTGTTCTGTAATAAAAAGGCATGTTATTGGAGTTGGAATTGCTGGTGTGCTTTTTCATGGATTTTCAGTGGATATGCTTGGTGTTATTTCATTGTTTTGTTAGATTATCCTAAACACATATATACACACGTGTTTGTGTTCGTGTGCCAATGGCAATCCCATCAAACTCCATAACCTCAGGAGCTTAAGCAATGTTTCGTTTTTAAACTGTTTTTATTAAATAAACAATAAATTACTGATCAAAAGAACACAACCAATCTCATCCCCCTCCCCCTGTAATGCTTGAGACCGCCTCACATCACACAACAAGAACCAACAAACAAACAAACAAACAAACATTTTTTTCCTCCTTACCTGGCCTTGTGTTTGATGAGTTCAATACCGCCCATGAAAGGCCTAAGAGGCTCGGGAATGAGGACGGAACCATCCTCTTGCTGGTAGTTCTCCAGCAAACACACCATCATCCTCGGCACCGCACACGCTGTCGCGTTCAGCGTGTGCACAAACTTTGTCGCCGGAGTATTCCCTTTCCCTTTCTTATTCCTCGTTACTTGCGGCGTCTCTGAAGGTCGGTATCGGATTCCTAGTCTCCTGCTTTGGTAATCCGTGCAGTTTGACGCGCTCGATATCTGCTTCGAAGCGAAAAATAACAAAAAGAAGTGAAATGTAACGGCATTCATTTTCGTTGTTTCGCTAATTTAAACCCGAAAATAAAAAAAGAAATAGAAAAACGGGTAAGCCTCAAATAAACCCTACGAGCTGCAAGGTATACACATTGGTCAAGGTTTTATCATAACCTTCTCCCGTACGAATCGCTTATACTTTATATACTACTACACACATGTCGATAAGAGTTTCCCGGTTTGAAAAAGGAAAAAGTAATCAAACAAAAATTCAGATAAGTTTACGAGAAGAATCGAGGTAAAGTTAAGTGAGAAAACGGAAATCGGAGAAAGAAACTATATGTTTTACCTCCCCAAACCGTCCTAATCCAGGCATCCATGCTTCAATATCAAACTTGCGGTAAGCAGGAGCCCCCAGATCCGCTGTGGCCATATCCAATGTTCTACAAAGACAGGTTATAATAATTCCTGAGTGAAGAGATTGAGATAGACCTCAAAAATAGCAAAGCACTAGGTTTGAACTTAGTTCCTACTTAAAGTGGAGTCCCAGTGAAGTGAACAGATCTTCTTCAATTTTAATAAGCTCATCATGGAAGGATTCACTATCTTCGGGCGGGCATAAGATGAACATCTCCACCTTGCTGAACTGATGAACTC